AGATGAAAAGAAATATTCACTTTAAATATCTAGATTTCTAGATCTAGATCTAGATCTATATCTAGATCTAGATGCTTCCCATTAGTCTAGTATTAGACAAATTTCTTCGTGTGAGAATAGAATAGCGTATGAAAACATGAATATGACCATGCCAGTGAGTTACGTAACGACAGCGTTGGTGTCTGAAAACTTGCCTGGCATTTGTAGTAGGGTTAAGATCGTACAGAGATCATGGATTACTCTCGTCATTCTCATTACGAAAAACAAATCAGCTTCTGTATGAAGGACAATGGGAAAAAAACCCCCCAGCAACAAACAGATTCGTTCAAACTTATCAATGTTTTGTTTTCAAACAGTAGGCGCGTTCATAATAAGTACTTTCCGGTGCTTTAGAGTTTTGCACAGTCTTCAATTATTAGTCTTCATCTTTCGTTCTTGACTTGTTTATGAAGAGACATTTGGCTAATTTGGCTAACACCGTAAATAATACCAACTGTAAAGCGTACAAAGACACGTGGGTGTTCTTCCCCCTGTTTGGTCAACTCGCGTTTATTTGTCTGTTCTGTGAATACAATTATGTATGCACACAAACACACACACACACCCACACACACACACCCACACACACACACACACACACACACACACACACACTCACACACACACACACACACACACACAATCACACACGCACACGCACATGCAGACTCCCAATAATAATGCCTTTTCAAAGTTGCCCTGTTACATTAGCCCAATTTTGCTTCATTATTTCCCGATAAAGGCTTGCACCGACCGCTCTGCCAGATCAAAACAACACTGAAATGTATCTCCAATGGATTATCTATAAGCTCGACGCTCAGCCTGTTTTATGCTTCTGGCATCTTCTATTCTTATTTTTAATCATATCAGATCAAGAGGTTTTGGGGGGAAAGAAGAAATAGTGAAATAGGGCTCGAAGTTACCTGAATTATGATCAAAACAGTGCAAGTCGAATACAAAGTGACCTTCAATTAGTTTTAGACGTATGTTATCCGTTCACTGACTCTGTTGGGCTAAAACTGCCCTCAGTATTGAGACAAAGGTTCGAAGAAAAGCAGTGTAGTGAGAGAGAGGCTCGAAGAAATTCAACCTCTTCGTTTATTTGTTTTGTTAATTTGCCTAAAGACAAGTATATAGACACATTAATTTCAATGTAGTGCGAGGAAAAAGGAAGACATACAGACGGAAACAACGCAGGGAAAGAAAAGAAGTAG